GTGTGTGTGTGTGTGTGTGTGTGTTCCTCCTTACCAGCTTGACATATGTTTAGTGGGTGTCACAGCCACCGTGCAAACAGAAAGTCAGCCTGACTCAGCATGTTGGCGTGTTTCTGCCTTTATGTATTAATAGCTGCACAGCCTGTATTCCTGTATCAAAGTTGTGCTAAAATAATCTTTACCCAATCACATGAATGTTTAAAGTCATTTATAAGGTTAAAAAAAATCAGATTCCTTCATGCGTCTCTGTCAGTTTGTTGTTAAGAATACAAAATCCCCTGTGTTGTCTGGGTATGAGTATGTCTGCTTTACATAGCCATAATCCACCTATAAACATGCAAAAAGTCTGTTTAAAGCTTTGATCACTGTCAATAACATGTAAATGTGTTTATTGTTTGCCCCTCCCAGGCGGATATTTGGTCGCTGGGCATCACGGCCATCGAGCTCGCCAAGGGGGAACCGCCGAACTCCGACATGCATCCAATGCGAGTGCTCTTCCACATCCCCAAATCCCCTCCTCCAACACTGACTGGTGATTTCTCCAAAAGCTTCAAAGAGTTCACAGAAGCTTGCCTCAACAAGGACCCTTCTTTTGTAAGACTCACAGCTGACACACACATTTAATGCAATAAACCTTTGGGGGTTTTGTAATTTAAAAGTATTTAGCTGCCATATCCTTTGAGTTCTATTCACATTAAAAATCTATGTTATTTTAACACTGGTGGAAAGTGCTTAAATTTTTCTCTCTGCATTTCTGTGACATTTCTGGTTTTACTTTAGCACTTTATCCCTTTAATTCCTACTTGGAGTAATCCATATTTCTCTTTTCTGAACTAAGTAATTTCTGTCACATTTCGCTCCTGCTTGTCGAACAAAATAACTTTGTGTGCATCACAAGTTAGTGAGGGTGGTCTCTGGACTTGGGAAAAACCCAGAAACGATCCCAACGGTTGTCAAACCGTGTCTTTATTGATATATACTGAGGCATCAAATGCCATTGAGTGTACAGGAGAGGTCATTAGATCTTGTTTTTATGGGGAAAGAGTTAGAGCAGTTGCATTTATGTGACCAACAGTCTTGGTAACTTTCTGAGGTCGTTTTTTTTTTTTTTTTCTCAATTACCCAAAATAAGCTGCCTTGTATGTTTTGTTGTAAACCCAGAGTTCATGTAGCCTTCTGTACATTTACCTCTAAATGTACTGAGTTTAACTCACTGCTTAGCGTTTTGATATTTGCAGCATTTATTTCACCACATCACGAGACACTAGCTTTGATTTCCCTTAATTTAGCCCACTCGGTCTATATGTAGCTGGCTGATGGAGCTCCTTACTAGCTGACAGTGTAAAAGATGCAATGTTATTATAGCTAGCTAAAACTAAAACTCATTGTGGAACATACAGTTTAGTTGACTCAAATAAAATAAAAAAAATTAACTTTTGAAAAAAAATGAAAACTAAGTGAAATAATTTTGTGAACTTCCTAGAGAACTAAGCTAAAATAAAAATGTAAAGGAAAACATCCTTAGTTTTACTATCTGTTAGTTTGTGAGTTACCAAAAGACTCTGGATGTCTATGAGACAATGACACATTATGAGTCACCTGCTTTCAAAAAGTCCACTGTTTTTTGTTTTTTTTATTGCAATACCTCGACTAATTTTTCCCCTAATCTTGCCTCTGGCACGTGCGTTTGTCACTGCTCAGCTAGAAAGAAGTCTGAGAAACTGAATAACATTATGAGCAGCATCCAGAAACACTGTAACAGAAGCAGATTGGTTATTTGAAAAATTAACTTAATAACCAGTAGGTTGAACTACAAAACTAATTTGCTACTTGGTATTTGTTACACTGGTGACCACATACAGCTAAGAAAATTGTTAGATTGTAACAAGTTCCAGATGGCAGTCACTTCCAGGTGTCAAACCTGGGCTACGTTTGGCGTTTACAGCTCATTTATGGACCTAGAAGTTGTGTTAGCTCAACGTGGTCCAGGTATCGCCACACACCTGACATTTGGCCGATATAAGGTGAACCTGGGGCTGAGTTAATGTAGCCTGAGTCAACACCATCTGCTTCCCAGCTGGGCCCACGGGGGTGTGGGAAGCACTTGGATAAGTGGCGCTGGTGTCAATACTTAGGCACTATTTACAGTGTTTTGTATACTTACCAGCAAAGCTTACAAGTTCAATTTCCTGGCAGTGACGAGGCTGTCGGCATACACGTCTTAGACTGTGTTTACATTAGCTAGTAATATGAATAACTAAGGAAGTTAGTTTACATTTGTACTAATGTTATATCAGTCATAAATGTTAGCATTTCCTGCTGTAAGGAGAGACACGCTACCACATATGTGGCTTTATTGACCCCAGATTATTCATAAGCTGTGTCAGTGTTGGGAAGTGGTAGCATGGACTGGGACTTCTATTGTGTGTTTTTACTCTGATTGAGCACACAGAGTGCTTTCTGCTAAAAGTCCCATTCATGCAGCCCGTAATATCTAACAATCACCCACACACAAACTCTATTGGTCATCAAGGGCAACTTGGGCTTCTGATTGGTGGCTTTACCTGCTGGGCCGCCATCCTTGTAAACTCCCCCTTTAGTATTTTGTGAGCTTGGCGCAGATGGCTTCATTTCCTACAGTTAGGGTGGTTTGAATATTTCAGGACAGCTTCCCTGTTCTCTGTGTGTGTGATTTACGTTGGATCCTGCTGCCCCCTGCTGGTCACTTCTGTTTTCAGCCTATCTTTCTGATATTCTTTTTCTCCATCTCCTTCTGGAAAGCTGAAGCTTTTTTAACTTTTCATCTTAAATCTATAGACTAATAACATCATGACCTGTTTTTTTTTGTTTTTGTTTTTGTTTTTTTTATCTCTTTTCAAAAAAATAAAAATAAAAAATTACAATCAGTTTTCTTGTCCTGCAGCGTCCCACAGCCAAGGAGCTTCTCAAACACAAGTTCATCGTCAAACACTGCAAGAAGACGTCCTATCTCAGCGAGCTGATTGACAGGTACAGGAGGTGGAAGGAGGAGGACCACAGTGACAACAGTTCAGACGACTCTGACAGGTATTGTCTCTTGATTTAGCTGGAACTTCGTCTTCAGGTGTGTGTGAGCAGAGAGGTCCGACATCTATCTGTGCATTTAAATGTGTTCATTTTTTCTTTAAGTGAATCTAGTAATAAGGAAAACAACGAGTCTCCAGAGTGGTCCTTCACCACTGTCCGTAAGAAGAAGCAGGACAAGTCAGATAGCAGGACCATCCTCAATGGAAATGTTAGTACCACCTGTGTGTGTTACTTTGTTTTTTAACTTGTAGTTGTTTTTACTTGTATTTTAAAGTCAAATCAGAAGTATGGTCCATAATGGTCTCGCTAGTAATGCCTCAGTCTCAATCATCTAGCCGGACCAACCACTTTTATTAGTTACACCTTGCTAGTACTGGGTTGGATTTTTTTTTTTTTAATGCAATATGAGGAAGTCGGAGGTCAGTATAACTTGGATTCTCACAGTCTTTTGTTTTCTTGTCCTCTTCATCCTTGGGTTCAGGATCAGATGAGTAAATCTGCCAGTCTCACCACAGTCATCTCCCCCGTCTTCACAGAGGTTGGTATACACAAGTCTCCTAAACATCAATACACTCATCCTTTTGTTTTAGACACTGTTTTTGGGATCAGGGAATATGTAGTTATCCTGCCATTGATTTTGGGCTTTTGTGCTGATTTTTGTTGGAGGGTTTTGTGGTAACCTGAGAGAAGTGAGCTAAAATAAAATAAAATAAAAAGATTTTCAAAAATGATTCTTATTGTTCAACTTCTTCTGTAGTTGAAGCAACAGCACAAGGAGCACTCTGAGCAGCGGTTGGCCATCGAGGAGCTGGAACGTAACATTCGAATAGCTGAAGATATCTGTCCAGGCATCACGGACAAGATGGTCACGCATATCATTGCCAGGTACCAGAAGTGTAACCTTTTCTAAATACAGGGTTGCGTTTCTGTTTCTTTCAATTATTTATGACAACCTTCTCTCATTACTCAATTTCTTTTATTGGAAGTTAATTCTCTTATTTATGCCAGAATATGATGCTTTTATTTGCCCTTCGTCCTGTTTCTTTCTCCCTCTTTTACATTATTCAGAACAGAACATTTGTATCCTCCTTCATTTGTTAACCAAATATCTTCCTCCTCAGATACACAACAAATTGAAAGATGGATGGATTGACCCAGGAAAAAGAAAAAACATGAAGAGAGAGAGACTGTGTTTCCTTTACGGTGACGCTGCTGGATGATGAAAATAAGGCAGATTTGCTGTGCAGTATCTGCTTGCTGTACACACACACATCTCAACACACACTCACACACATGCACGCACACACACTACCAATGTAATATATACACTATATTAAACATATACATATAAATTCCCTGCTGCTGGTTGAAAACCTTTTATCTCCCTATGGTTAATTAAAAAAAAAAATCCACAACAATAACGAAAATAAAATCTGATGTATAGCTTTTATTTCTGATCTGCCTTTACCATAATGTGCCTTAGTTCTTTTTGTTATCAGTCATTTTCTACATTTTCTGCTGTCACTTGTTTTCTTAAGAGGTTTTTGTAGAAATGGCTCACGAAGGAAATGTAATACCAAAGAAGGTTCTCGTCCATCAGCAGTGGTATGTTTTTGTGTCATGTTTTTGTGTCATGAGTTGCTTGGAGTCTGTAGATGTCTTTATTCTTGTTTAGTAGCACTTGAGACAGATGATATGCCAATATTACATTTGTTTTTTATTTTTGTTTTTCAGTAATGTCTTTCAGTTACAGTTCCCTGATCCCAGAATTCATTCAAGGTGGTTTCTGTTAAAGCAGTGTAGATCCTTCAATTTTACTGTTTTGTACAGCGACTTTCTTGAATATTCAAGGTGAAAAGCCTCCTACTCTAAAATGGTACAAATGTGGGGAATTTATGGAACTTTTAATGTCCAAATGTTCCTAAACTTTTAAATTTCCCCATCAAGTTTAATAGCTCCAGTTTTGAGAGCTACCAGTCTCTGGCTAGCTTGGCTAGGTAGCCAGTTGCCTGTTAACTGGGAGGCTAGCTGTTATTGTAGCTACCCAAAGTTGCTGGCAAGATATGAGTAGTTAAAATGCTGAAAATGGCTGCCATGTGAATAAGGCTGGTTTAGTTACTTTTAGTAACAAAGCCACTGGCAGCACACAACTGTTAGTCCAGATTTATTTTGTTATGTTAGTCTTGCTAGCCAAATAGTTAGTAGCTTGCTAAACAGTAAGCTAGATAGCTGTTGTTGTTACTGCCCTTCTCTAATTAGCAGCAGTTAAGGCTTTAATCACAGAGGCTTAGAGACCAATCAGTGACCTAGTAGAGGGGGGAAAGAAATGTGTAGTCCCCGATTGATTGGCAAGTGGTTGCTGGAGTGTTCTTGCACTTGCTAGCTTCAATGCAAACCTCCTACCAATTGCTTTGGTTGCTAGCAGATTGCCACAGTTGTTTGTAGTTTGTACAGAAGATGCAAAAATTGTCTACACTGATCAACTACACCAAGTGGTAATGAAACCTTGAAAAATGTGGTGCCAACTGGAAACAAAGAACGTTCCTTTGTAAGTTTTGCCTTACCACTGAAAAACCAATACATTTCATTAGGCACATGTCCTCTGTTTCCATTACAAATTTTTTCCTGTTTCACTACCACTCGGTGTTTGGTTAGTGTTTGCAGATAAGTCGCCATCTTCCATGCAGACTGCTGGCAAACATGGCAAGCTGCAAGTGACTGAAGCAGTCACGAGTCTTTCAGTGCAACACACTCAATGCAAACACGTTTATCACTTGCCAACTGATTAGGAGGATACGCCTTCATTCTTAGCAACTGGAGGTTACCATGCAGTCACTGACCGGTCTTTTTGACTGAGGTACAGGATGTTAAAATGATGAAAATGGCTGCCATTTGGTGAGTGTAAC